GTACAGTATTAACAATTTTTGTTCTACCCATTGGGTAGGATATGTGCATAATATATTCAACTTATATACAGCACCTTACAAATAAAAACGTAAGAGAAGACAGACAACTGAAGAAGCACCATTTTGAGTGAGGCACAACAAAAGTCGGGGCGTGGAGCACAGGAGCAGGGCTGGGTTGCTACATCTGCTGAAGCCAGACAGGAGGCACCTTGACTGCTTAGAGACATGCAGAGCTGGAGATGACAGGGTGTCACACGTGCACACTACTCTGCCCAGCTCAAATGCTTGGCGCAAAGGCCAGGGGAAGAAGGCGCTGCGTTCTCAGGAAGATGTCCCCACGCCGGACCAAGCCTCTGCCGTGCACAACTCAGGATCAGGGGCAGCAGCAAGTGTCTAACCCTGGCACTAACATCAACCTGCACTAAGCAAGAGCTTTAGGCATTAAATGACATCTTGAATCCTAACACCTGTGTGCTGCCGAAGGCTAGGAGGGCACATCTCTGGTCTCGGGGCAGCTGACAGCCTCTAACCTGCCGCTGTGACCTGGGTGCAGTCAGAGTTCCTTTTTCTAATACAGACCGCTTCATAGATGGGCATGTTGTCCTTGCTCAGGGGCCATGCCAATTTTCAGCGTTCCAACTTAAGTATGTGTGCCTCCAAAGCAAGCACCAGGCAGTTTCGTGATTGGTGACTGTGTGGGCCACTGTTAACTACTGTTCTCAAGCTGAGAAAAGGATGCTGCCTTCCTTGCCACCTTGTCACCCAGCAGTGTCCTTTTCCCTAAGCAGGCTGAAGGCATGGCCTTCTACTGCAGTGTGAATAGGAGAATTAGGGGGCTGTGCTCATGAGACCTGGGCTTGGGCTTGGCTCTAAGCACTGGCTTCAGTCACTTAGACAAGAAAAGCAAAAAGATAGCAGAAAGCAAGTATCCTCACATCCCTTCACTCACACTGAAGAGGTTTGGGGATTTTATGAAAGTGTGATAGTGTGCAAGAGAGTTATACTCAGCAAGCACCAGCACAGCACACTCGGTGGCCATGCTCCCCCAGTAGCATCAGCAGAGGTGACAGGAGACTGTGGGTGACTACTGCCATGTGGGGCTGCCCTCTGTATCTATCAACAAGTACATACAAGTTCAAAGCCAGCCTCAACAACTTACCAAGGCCCTAAGCACACAGCAAGACCTTGTCTCTAAATTTTTAGAAATGGGCTGGTGATGTGGCTTAGTGGTAAAGCACCCCTAGGTTCAATCTCCAATACAGAAAAAAAGAAGTATGTGGACTGAGTGTATTTTCTTAAGTCCTCTACCCAGGAGCCTCTCTGAAAGAACTGTTGGATGGACCATGGAGGGTCTACTGGCTCTGAGGGGAAGGCAGGGGTCAGAGTGGAATCCTCTAGATCAGAGCTTTCTGAAGGTCCTTCCTTTTGAACCCCTCTCATTCTTAGAAAGATAAGAATGAAACAGTTATCTGGGGACCCAGTGCCATTGCTGCTCTGAGACCTCCCAGGTTACGGTGGGCTCGCATTTGCTCACTCAAGTTTGAGCTTCAATAGTAAGCAGTGTATCCTCATGGTACATCTGTTCTCGGCTACCTTGAGATTTTTTCCTGGGCTGGTGTGTTATGATGGGCAGGGGTGTGTGGAAGGACAGAGAGCATGCTTGTCAAACTGCTTTATCAATCAATTATGAACATGAAAAATAGATCAACTAGTTAACTCATTAATTTTCCGCATTGGTGGGGATGGAAGCCAGGCCTTGCCCATGCTAGGCCAACCCTCTATCCTGAGCCATGCCATGCCCCAGCTAATGGTGGAGCTAATGGGTAAATTCACTGGTTTTTCTAGAATTGCAGGTGAAATTTGGAATGATGAAGTCATGAGCTGATCTTCTCACCTGTGTCTCAGGGGACACCTAACTGATAATCCAGCCATCAACTTTTTAAATGTGTGATTTGTTTCACAATCTCTTGCTTAAAGATTGCTTGGTATTTGGAAAATGCTATTGTTTCTGAACAAGCAGAGGTAAGCCAGAAGACAGTTCCTACAGGTGGGGTTCAGCAGGGCTTAGGTTTAGAGCTCCCGGAAATCCCAATGACAAGGGACAGAAGTCTCAGTGGTATGCCTAGGAGTTTCGCTCTCTAACTGTTGTAGTGTTCTGTGGGAATAATCCATGATTATAGACCTTTCAGACCCTGAATTGCTGGTTTCACCAGCACATGGGCTTGGCCTGCATCGCCACAAACACTGCTCGTTCAACACCTTATGAGCTGGGAGGCCACAACCTTCAGAAGAGCTACTGATCTAAATCTCCTCCCTGTGTCAAGGGAAATTGACTATTAATCCAATTTATGACCTTGGCTTTTAAACTAATTCATTACTGAGGCACAGCCTCAAAGACCTTTCAAAGTCAAGCTTTACTATGTTTGTGTCTTTGCAACAACTGATTAACTTACAAGGCAATTCTCTAGGGTACCTGAAGGGTGGGGGACTCCTCTTTTGAAGGATGATTAAAGCTACTTGAATTAAATGATTGTTTTGCCAATACTATCGACATCTACAGAATGTCCTTACACTTGCGAGGCTACTAAAGAATTTACAAGTCTCAGGCCTTAGCCCTTTCCTGTAGCAGGTAGGAAAGTAAGACTCATGAAGCCATCTGAGGTGGAGCTAATAGGTGGATTTACTGGCTTTTCTAGAACTGCAGGCAAGATTTGGAATGATGAAGCCGTGAGCTGATCTCACCTGTGTCTCAGGGGACACCTGACTGATCATCCAGCCATACCAAGTCCCCACCAGTGAGATCCATTCTGGATGAGTGTCTCCTCACCTTTGTGTCATGGACCCAGCTTCTCTCAAACACAGATGTGACACCCAGGGAGTGAGGGACCTTTCAGGAAGCCTTCAGAGTCATGAAAAGGGCCATCTCTGGCCCCAAGACAACCCCTGCCCTGAGGGCTGGTTTCTCCCTGCTTGATAGAGGCCTTCAGAAAGAAGGTCTTTGGAATGAAACTGAAGCCAACCTCAGAATTTCCACTGCAACCCTCAAACGCAGTCCTCCCAGGCAGGGTCCTGGGTATGAGCTGACAACTGCTGGCCATCTGTCTCTCTCCTCCTAGTTCTATGGATGTTACTATGTGAAATGTATCCATCTAAGGGAAGGTCCAAACCTCAAAACAAATGCAGCAACTTACCTACTGAGGAAGTAGCAGAAGCAAGCAGCAGATTGGAATCAGACAGGACAAGGGCTTGCAAACAGTCTCCAGCTCTCAGCAAGCTACACAGAGACACGTGTCTGAGGAATTGCCTCCAAGAACACAGTGACACACACACACACACACACACACACACAACTTGACATTCAAGCCGCATAGCTGGTAGTCACAGGTCACCATTCCATTGGTCTTGTTATGTGCAGAGGCCAGAGAGGCCCAGTGGAAAGCAGCCTGGCCACTGTAGATAAGTCCTTCGCTTGGTGCAGAACATGTTAACCTGACCAGCTGCTGCTGTGACAAAGCCAGTGCTTACAACTGCAGAAGAAAGTTTTTTTGTTTTGTTTTTTATCTGTGAGAATGAATGTTTGCAAATGTTAGGAATATTAAAACTAAGACAATATATAGAATCAGTTCTGGTTGCATCTTAACTGCGGGTTGTGCTTTTTGTCCTGTGCTATTACAGTCACACCCCCACCTGCCCCTGTCCTCTAACTGACCCCCTGGTCCTTGCCATCAACAGGGAGGCTGCTGGGGGCAGGGAAGGTAGAATCCCTGTGGGAGTTTAGGCAGGTCTGCAAGCTGAGTTCCATGTGACATTTGTGAAATGCAATGGCTTGTTACCATGACTGGTAGACAAGGTGCCCTTCCATCAGTTCCAAGGACCTCTGCCAGCATGGTTTACACAGCAAGTGCTGGGCAAGCTATATGCAGGTGGCCGCTGGGAGCCTTCGGGTGAACTGACCGGCCTTGCAGAACTGAACTGAGCTACCTGGGAAAGGGGAGAGGCAACGGGACACACTGAGAGTCACATATTTCAGCAGTATGCAAAATAACCACCTTGCATTTTAAACAATTTATTGCAAAAAAAAAATATGTATCTGAATATATTTCATGCTACAGTGAAAAAAAATCTAAATTACTGGAGGAACTACACTGCTGGCGGGCAAGGGCGGCACTGCACGATACTGGATACATAAATGCATTTGTTCATTTTTAATAAAGTATGCAGCCTAAAACTAGCAGAGTAATTCAAATAAGCCAGAAATGCCGGAACTTAGTATTTCCTATCTTCCATTCCAGCGTCTCCTGGTGCCTCAGTGATGCACCAGGTAGGATGCAAACTCCTGCGGCAAGCAGCACTGGGCTGATTTACAGAATTTGGTAAATATTAGGCTACATCCCCAAATACGCTTTCGTGTGTGATTCTGGGATCACTCTAGGCTGTTCTTCGGGCCTAATAACCACCCACAGGGAAAAGACAAGCAACATACAGAAGTTCACGCAAAACAGTTCCCTCATATATATTTTAAACATCAATAGTGCAACTTTGGAAACACACCATCTCAACAAAGAATAGCTCCTTGCATTCATCTAACTTCTCCACTTTATACCTTGGCACACAAAACAGGAATTTTGCTTCATATTTTTAGAACAAAATGAAAGTTCCACACCTTGGGAGAAAAAGCCACAGGGCTGATTCTTCCCCATGATAATATATCATAACGCTTCCTTCTTTATTCAGTTACAAAACAGGCCATTCTGGCCTCATTTAATCTATGAAGTCTCCTTTCTGAATTAAATAAATCAAATACCTCTGTGGTTCTTATTTCATGATATCTTCAAAGCATCCCTTCTCTGTTTCCCTAACCACCCTTTGCCAAAATCTTCCTTCCCCCATCCCCACCCTGCCCCCAAATCAACACCATTGGCGGTCAGACCAGATGGAAGTCCGCATTGTCTCAGTCTCCTTCGCATGCAACTCCCCTGAAAGGAATCAGAAACAAAGACCGTGTTTGCACATTTGGTTTTACTTAGTTGTACCACGTGAAACCGGACAACACCGTGCGCTGGAGGGTGGCGCAGCCTCTTCCCCTCCTCGGTTCCTCTCCTCGATTCAAGTGCACGTGGAGGGGTCAGACCAGGTTCCCGGGCTTCCTGTCTTTGCCCTTGATGGGGACTATTGTGCTCTCTGAATTGTTCTGCTGAAACTGCAGTCTGCTGCCGCCGTGTGTGTTGCTGTGCTGGTGATGGAAGAAGGAGGCGCCTGGGTAGTGGCCCATCACCTCGCTGTAGGTGGGGGGCGGCCCCTCCATCCTCCCGTTACTGCTGCAGGTGGTCGCGCTGATGCCCGAGTTGCTGCTGGGCGGGCAGGGGCCCCCGTTGTACACGGAAATGTCTATCAAATCACTGTCAAATATGGTTCGGTTGGGCGGGGCCCTCACAGACTCTCGGTTGAGTTCCATCTGCTGTTCGGGGTCCCGGAGCTGCAGGGTGCAGGGCCCCTGGTAAGGAGGCGGCTCTTCCCCATCCGACAAGGAGATGGTGGGAGGGAGGTCAATCTCGTGCTGCACATAGGGGTAGGTGGGCTGGAAGCGACTGAACCGATCCCTCTGGATAAAGGACGGGGCAGTAAACCTGTCCCTGGCCCGAGGGGCGTACATGATCTGGAAGGAAAAGAGGAGAGGCCTGAAGATGCTCTCAGCACAAAGAGATCAGGGTGGAATGTTCTCACCCCTTGGCCATCCTCTCCCCGACCCTTGCAGACAAGACAGGAGAAGACTTCCAGGAACCCAAAATAGCTGTCCTATCCCTAATGACTTAGGCCACTCTCTATGCCAAGCTACAGTGTATTTGGGACAGTTGTGCAATGGAGAGCCGCAGCCGGCTGGGAATCTGGGTGAACAGTTAATTGTGCAGGTTGGGGCTACACTTTCAAGGGTTCAAATGGGACCCAGCAGTAACCCCAAGAGGGCGCTGAACAGGAAAGGAGCAAAGAGGGCCCTGCAGTTGGCTCAGGACCTTGTCCAGGCCTTGGTGGCTGTGAGCTACGAGACAGGCCACCAGCTTTCTCAGGTCCCTGCCAGCCCCTGACAGCCAGTTGAATGGTCTTAATATTTTCTGTAAAAACTAGGAAAGTGACCTTTTTTCTTTCAATTTCTAGACTTTCCCAGTTATTTGGATTCTGGATATATGTTTCCTTTATGGCTTTTAGCCACTAATATGAAAAGTATTTTATATTCAAAGTAAATATGATTATAGTTTTTTCCAAAAAAAAATAAATCCAGGTAGTGGATTTTGTAAGATGCAAAATCCTCTTGTTTATTCCACCATCAAAATTTCTTTGTGGAGACAGATCTTCCAGGCACAAGTGTGTGCATGTCTATATGTATACTCGTATATTAATACATACATATATATATATATGTATAGACACAAATATAGTCACTGGTTTCTCTCACACCATTATTTTTAACTTAAAAGGAAAAAAATCATGTTTTAAAATTAAACTTGTTGATGGGGGACTACATCATTATTTGACATGTACAAACTGCCCAGACCTGCCAAGCCACATCACTGGGCTTTCAGGATCATGCAAAGATAAGGGATTCCTGCTCTTTGCAAGTTAGACCAGCATAAATAACGCCCTAGAAGATTCCAGGGGAAATCTCTCCTTCTTAACCAAAGTTATAGGCCATGTCTTAACCCCAGGCTGTGGCTGTGACTCTCCCTCCACCCCTTCTGCCACCCCCTTACCTCAGAGGCCCCTGGCCGTGGCACCGAGCTGCCTGAAGGCCACAGGCACCCTTCCTGAAGGTGGCAGGGGAGAGAAGCAAGGAACAAGAAACAGAAGAGAACCATTAGTCTCACCCCAGTGGCAGCAGCACCCAACAACCTGAAATACAACTTACTGAAAGGGGGTCCCCTGGCTCCTTGGACGGTGGTCAACCTGTCTAGAACTGGAGTAAGAAAGAACTGGTCCTTCGTACCACTCACACCCAAATGGAGGGCTGGGACAATAGGAAGAGTTACCAAACGTATTAGTTCCTGGCCACAGTGGACGTGGAGCAGATTTGAAGTCTATTACTGAATCTCTACACTCATGTGCTTCAGAATGACCATGGAACCCTGTTCAGCCGCTGCCTGGATTTGGGGAGTGTGGGTTAACTACTCAGGCAGAGGCTGCCCCAGCCCATATGCCCACATGCTGGGGCACTCAGCACAAAAACCCATTCCCAAAGCCTGAGTGCCCCTCAAATGTCCCCGGTGATTTTATTTCCCACAGGTATATTCACAGGTATAAATGAACTATAGTTGTTTCATGTATTTCCTTCAAAAGTGTTTGGTGAGGCTGACGAGCAGCAAGCGAGAGTTACTTCTAACACCATGAACATTCTCTCACAGAGTCCTTGGGCCCAGGTTTTGGTTACTTGGAGGGCCAGCTGGGCTCTCAGCTACAGCCCTAAGCTGTCTGTTACTGCTACAGAAGCCTGTATTTTTGGATTCCCAGGAATATGTATGCTTGACCTTTAGAGATCACTCAGTCTCCCCAGAGCCCAAAAATGTCCCTAAGTAAAGACCTCCACAGTCAAACGCCCCAGCCCCGCAGACGCAAGGCCACGCTGTTCTTTTCTGTGGCCAGCGTCGGTTCTAGTATAAATACCTCCTCCTTGCTAAACAGGGTGTTTGTCCAACACACACCACGGTTCCTAAGATACGCCAGGCCATTCGGAATCAGCAGCAAAAATACAAACCAACCCAGCTGTGTTTAGAGGAAGCGTGGGCTTAAGGGTCTGACTATAAAGTTACGTAATGGACCATGACAGCTCTGGCGTGGTGACAGGTGAGGGACCAAACTTGAATCAAGTGGCGACCTTTCAGTGAAGTGGCCGGCGCCAGCCCTCAGCTCCTGCTCCCCCACCCCACCCCTGTCAAAGACGGCACTGGATTCCAGATTGCGGTGGTGACTCTGGTGCTGAAAACAGTTTGCAGAGTCCTCCTGAAGTGTCTGGGACTCCCACTGCCAACCTGCCTATTGGCCACTGTCACTGCTCCTCCCAGAGCTCTTCTTTTCCAGGGACCTCAGTGTTGTACTCTAACGGACCAGTCAATGGCACACAGGGCAGAGTGAAACTTGGTACCCTCTGATGGCCAGAAACAAGGCCACCAGGAGTCCCCCAAATCGAGGCTTCTGTTGTCTCAAAATGACAGTCCTCATCCCCAGTGGCTTCATCGCCCTAGACATTGGCAGAACCAGCAAAGGTCCACAAGGGCTCCAGGTCACCTGGGCACTGGCTTGCACTGAGCCCCCTGGCACGAGCTCCCTCCCCCGTCCCACTATTCCAGAGCAATCTCCCTGGTCACCTCCCTGCTTCTTGTGGGAGCCTTACCTGCACTCTGCTGCCACTGCGGAGTCTGGGGACCCTGTCCAGACCTCCCTCTCACTAGCATTGCCCCGGCCCTTCCCACAGCCACCAGGCCTGGAGCTTCCAAGTCTCCTGTCTGCGGAGTTCGCTGGTTCCTCCCCAAGTCCTTGCTCTGCCATGTGGCCAGCCCTCAGCCCCGAAGCCAGTCCTGTGTTCACCTCCGGAGAGCTCTCCTTCCCTGCCCCCAGCCAGGGCCCTGATGGTCACAGGGGATCCCAGGGCTGCCTCCTTTGTCCCGCCAGGGGAGGCCCAGCCTGCTTCTCTTCCTGTCTCTGCAGCTGCCACAGTTTCCCTGACAGTGACGACCTTCCTTCTCTTTAGGAAACTCACAGTCCCCAGAACTGGCAGCTATTGTGTCTTGTCATGCTTGCTTCATCTTTTCCTCTAAATGTGAACTTAAAAAAATTACACAGACATGTGCATGTTTTTCCCTACAACGGCCATCATAGGTAAGCCAATCCACAGGGACTCGTCCTGCCCTGGGGTCTTCTGGAAGGAGCTCTGGGAGCAACATTTAAAAAGCAGGAGCCCTGCGCTTGACGCATGGTAATGTGCAGTGAATTTAAATTGCTACACAAGCAACCAATTCCTTCTTAAACTTGGCGAAAGCCTGCTCTCTCCCGGGAGAGCCTCAGCAGAATATTTGCGCACGGGAAGGTGTGTGAGCCCAACCCACAGTGGGCCCCTCTTCCCACACGGCACCCAGAGCCTGGCTCTGCGGCTCGCAGGAGAGGCTCTGGCCAGCTATGGGGAAACCACCAGAGCCCTCGCTTGTCACCTGGTCCCTCAGAGTTCCTGAGACTAGAAGAGGGGTGCAAGGGGCTGGCATGGCTGTGGCCTGCCATCTCCCAGCCATGTCTCATGATGTACCTCCCCACGGCTGCTTTGACCAGGCCACCATGGCCAGGTAGGGAGAGGGCCAGGGCAAACATGTGTCCCACACATGCCAGTATCAGTGTCCCGTCTGCTCCTGTTGCTCAAAGCAAGTGCATAGCTCTTCCCTACACACTTGCTAGCTTGGGAGAAAACAAGTGTCCTGCCCTGAGGTCCCTAAAGCCAGAGAGCAGATCCTGGAGCAGGAGGAGGGGGACTACAAGGGAAGAGGCATTCAGGCCCCTCCTCTCCGGAATGTCACTGCACGTCTGCGGGCAGGGGTGACCTGATGGGCGGAACTCCTCCTGCCTAGCTCTTGTTTTTGCAGGAATAATACAAAAGTGACATTAAAATCTCCAATGGGAGGAAGTGCCTCCATCATCCCATCCCCCTAATACTTAAGCAGTTTTCTGATTTCGAACGCTTTCCCAGCTGGAAGCTGAGCAGGAGCATCTTCGGCTCCGGCCAAGTCTTCCTCTGCAGCAGGCCCAGGCGCCACCCTCCACCAGCGCTGTCCCCAGCTTCACTGAGGCAAGATCGAAAAAAAACGATGCCGTCGCTTCTATTTTAGCAACTACATAACTCAGAATTTACTTAACTGCTTGCTGACAATGGCCCTCTGCCTGTTCACTTGCTCTCGCAGAACTCCTTCCCAGCCCTTTCACCCTGTGGCACAGAGACCTGCCGTGGCGACCACAATGGGCCAACAGTCAGAGAAGCTGTCACTCCACTCCTGGGCCCAGTGCCACTGGGCACAGAACCCAGACCTGAGAGCGACCAGAGCTGGATCCCCCCACCCCGATCGTCACCTGGTGCTCACTCCATCCAGTCTCTGGTCACTCCCTCACAGTGGTCACATGCTCCATGGGCAAAGTCACCCTAGGGTGGTTGGTGGAGCTGCGGGTTGTGCTCACCCTTCTTGCGGGGAGAACCTCGCTCTGAATGGTCAAGGAGTGACCTGGCCCTGTGCCCCGTGTCCCGAGGGCCTCGCACCAGTTGAGAAACCGAGGATTGCTGGATACGACGATGTGGTCCCCTTGTCCAGTCACCTTGGTTTCTTCATCTCCAAATGCCAGGGAGAAGGGCTTCCCTCCACAGCTGGCACCTGCTGGAATGGCCGCACTCCTTGGCACTCCTCAGGGAGCCAGCAGGGATCTGAAGGAGGAAGGTGGGCGCTCTGGCTGGGCTGCGCGGCTCCCCTCCCGTCGATGCCCCACAGTAGCTTGAGGAGTTCACAGAATTCGACAAGAACGGAATGTCACCACGCATCTCACAGAGGTGTCAATGCCTCCCCTCTTTTGCAGGCTCATTCCTCACAGGACACCTGCTAAGGAAGGGAAGCAGGACACGTCTGATCCATGCTACTTCCTTACACCACTACTAGGGACGTCCTTGCCGAGGATCTGGATCCCTCACAAGGCGGCACCTGAGACCAGGTCGCGCAAGCCCGCCAGGTGTTCCTGCTGCACCTTCCTTGGGGTGGGGGCAGCTGGGAAACAGGCAAGTGCTCTCTACAACTCCCAGGGCTCCTGCTGGCACCCTGACCCCTCATTCCACTTCAGGGAGCATTCCAGAATGTGAGTGGGTCGGAGGGACCCTCCTCTGGGATCACTTTGAATCAACTCTGGTCTGTTCGCTAAGGGGCACTATTCTCAAATGGCTCACGTCTTACACAGTCTCTGCACTGGCTCCTTGAGCTGTGCATCGTGTGTCTGGGCAGGACACCTGCTCCAGGAAGCTTACAAGGGGGCACCCAGTCCTGGGGCGAGGGGCTCCAGCTGGGTCTCAGGGTGCCCTCCTATGTGCAGTGCCCTGCAAACAAGCACATTCCTGATTCTCTAATATTCCCCCTGGAACAAAGGCATTAACAGACAAGGTAACCACCAGTTGTCCGAGGGCAATTTCACGTTACCCAGATGGGTGATAACAATGTTGGGCCCAGGTGCAGAGGGGGCACAGGAAGCCAGACTCCTGGCCCCCAGCTTCCTGTCTGTGAGCTCTTGGCTTCTCCAAGCCTTGGTTTCCTTATTTGTGGAAGGAGCCTGTCAAGAGGCTCAAAAACCATATATGAAAATCCCTGCACGAGCGCCTTGGTGTGATACTCAGTAAATGGCTGCTGTGCCCATCACAGGCGGTGGTTACCAGCTGTTTTTATGCACAATTAGAGGGGATCGTTTCCTGTTCTCTCTCTAAAGACATGCCTTTTAAAATAGCAAGCTCCTTAAATTGTTCTTATTATTTTCAAATATTCCAAAGGTGGTGTTTTGAACAGGAAGGCGGAGAGAGGGCTGCTCACTGCTCCCTCTAGAGCTCTCCAGGAGCTAGCTTCTCCTCAGGCAGGGAGCTAGCCACACACGGCCCCAGCGGCGGCTCTTCAGGCTCTTCTCCTTAAGGCTGCCCACCAAGACTCCTGGATGCCAAATCCCCGGACGTCACAGAACAAAAGCCAGTGGTTGCAGGAGGACATCTGAACTCTGGACACATTGGTCCAGTCTGGCAAGTAGCTGCCCC